CTATCTATCTATCTATCTATCTATCTATCTATCTATCTATCTATCTATCTATCTATCTATCTATCTATCTATCTATCTATCTATCTATACGTATTATTCGTGGGTTGCAATTACTTAACCCCCTTGTTATTCCAGGCTTATGCCATAATTTCGTTAATCCAATCTGATATTCAAACAGAAACATAGAGATCAGTGCTTAGTTCCCAGAATTTCTTGGTTTCCCGTCAATTTTCCCTTCAACCAACCCATTGGTTGCTTCAGGAAACCATGGTTCCATTGATTACTAGCTACATACATATTGCGTGTGAGAATTTCATGCATCCCTATTTATCCAATTCTCAAATGGAAATACTTCCACTTTTGCTGTGACTTCTACCCAACGGGTGTAGTCCAGACTACTACCCTACGGGTGTAGTCTAGGAATCTTGAAGAACCTGCATCTGGGCCGGACCGAAGCCCTTTAGATGTCAAGTGGCACAAAGGTGCGTCAGCTGGCAGCGAGGTGGCTGCTTGGAGTTTTGGGGAAACTTGGTTTTGTTTTTTGGGTTGAAACATTATTTTTCCGGTTGGAGTCGAGATCTCAGTTGCTGTTCAGGGTTCCAGGACGGTTCACTTGTTGGCATTGGGAGGCTTCAGGAAACACAGGTTATGAGCCCAAGGAGCTTGTGTAAACCCCCAAAGACTTCTGACATGATGCGTAGACGTAGACCGGATGGCGGCGCTGTCGATGGATCTGGCGCTGAGCAGATGATGGCAGCTGGCGCTGAGCAGATGGCGGCAGCTGGCGCTGAGCAGATGGCAGCGGCTGGCGCGGTGCAAGCGGCGGCAGCTGGTGATCGGCAGATGGCGGCTGCGGGCGCTGAAGGCGATGCAGCACAGGCGCTTGGGGCGAGAGGAGATGCAGCTGAGAGAGGCCTGGAACTGGTTGGACAAGAACTTGTACCAGCTTCTCAAGCCTTGGCCTTGAGGACACCGGATGGGTTGGAGAAAGGGCGAGGGTCAGAAGCTGCAAAGGGCTCTAGGTCACCAAGGGCAGCCACAGAACCAGTTAGCCAGGGTCAGAAGTCAAAGGAGGGTTCAGTCAGAGGCCAAAAAGGAACCCCAAAAGAAATAGAACCAGAGAAGTGTCAAGAGATGGCAACACCCAGTGGACAGCCAGTTTCACTAGGTCCCCATTCCTTTGTGACACCAGAGGGACAGGTCCAAAGTATGTTGCCACTTTTTTCACCAGAGCAGACGGTGAAACTTCATGAGATCCACCAGATGCCTTTTGCATCGCCTGCGGCTTCATGGAATGGTCCTGCCGTTGGAGAACATGGACACGGGGGAGCTGAGCGACAAGCAGTTCCAGGTTGGTTCACAGGGTTGCTTCAATCAGTAGGATCTCAGCAAGGTGAACATGAGGCGAGGCAAAGGGATTACATGTGGAGAATGCAAGTTGAGCATGGCATAGAACATCTAGGGGTTCAGTTGCGTGCGGCACAGCATGAAAACCAAAGACTTCGTCAAGAGCGTCAAGAGTTGTTGGAAGCCTTGGAAAAGAAGGGATCGTCGAGGTTTACCACACCAGATGACAAAGCAGCCAACATGTTGAAAAAGGAGGAAGGGGCAGAGTCCCGGCAAGAAAGACCTTCCAAGGAGGAAGGGGCAGGTGCCCGGCAAGGAACACCTTCTAAGGAGGAAGGGGCAGAGGCCCGGCAAGACAGATCTTCTCAGGAGGATGGGGCAGAAGCCAGGCAAGAACAGTCAGAGAGCGATTCGTCTTCTGAGGAGCCGCAAAGAGCAAGCAGGCCAAAGGAGAGCGTTGACAAGCAGTCCATGAGGATCATGCTCAAGTTGATGGAGGGCATGCAGGAGCTTCAGAAACAGATTGTGATCTCCAAGGAGGAAGGAAAAGGTGATGAGATTGAAGTGGTGCGCTATGTGGCGGATCTCCCAAAACTTGCTGAATGGAATCCGGAGACGGCGCCTATCGATTTTGGTGATTGGGTGATTTGTCTGCATCCTCATATGGCAGACTTGAGCTCAACGAGTGAGATGTGGTGGGACTTGACTCTCTCAACAGCGAGGACTTGGTATGATCACCACATGAAGCTGTCGCCAATTGAGAGGTTGACGAGCACACCAAGGCCTACACCAGAGTTGCAGCAGAAGAAGTGGTCCCGGCTGGAAAGAAGGGCTTCGTCCTTGCTCTTGAATGCGTTGCCGCAGACGATGAAAGAGGAGGTGATTGCGGCGAAGTCCATCACAGCTTTGGGCATTTTGTCTCGTGCGATGCTGCAGTTTCAACCTGGAGGGCTGACAGAGAGAAGCGCTATTTTGACGGCGCTGGAAGCACCTATGGAAGCTGCAACCGTGGGTTCAGCCATCCAACAGCTGAGACGTTGGATGAGATGGAAGCGCCGGGCCCTTGAAGTTGGAGTTTCAATTCCAGACAGTTCAATTTTGATGAAGGGATTGGGACGTTTGGTGAGGAAAATTGTTTCCAGTTACCCAGATCTCAACTTCCGCTTGTCGTTGGTCAAGAGCTCATTGTTGGTGGAGACAGTTCCAACGTTGGAGACAGTAACCCAGTACAGCGAACACCTTCTTGCAGAGCTGGAGCAGATGGGACAGCAGGCAAAAAGGAAGGAAGTGATGGCAGAGAGCCAGCCAAAGGTGAAGAAGTTTGAGGAAGCCTCGGGAAGCAAGCCTGAAGAAAGGACCAGGCCGAAGGGGAAGCCTCAAGAGGAGTTTGAAGGGAGGAGGAAACCATGTAGGTTTTACCTCACAGACTCAGGTTGCCGAAGAGGTAGAGGATGTCCTTTTGGACACCAGTTGGATGGAGAAAGAAGGTGTTGGACATGTGGAGGAAAGGACCATATGGCCACAGCCTGTCCGACCACAGAGGAGTCCAAGCCGAAGGCAGCAAAGTTTGGTTCCAAGACCCCAGAGAAGGATGTGAAGTCCGCTACAACATCTCCTGAAAAGTCCGAGGGGCAGTCTGAGGCCACGGGTAATGGAGGAGAAGAAACTATGAAGTCGTTGCTGGATGAAGCAAGTCGGATGCTCAAATCAATGAATGAAGGAGATGTCAAAGAAAAGAGACAGAAAGGGGAGGACGCACAAGAAAGGATCTTGGGCCTACAGAAGCAGCTGGATGAGCTCAAGAAGGCTTCTATGCGACCCTTTCGCATCTATGTGCCCAATGGTGAACAAGGGCTTACTGGACTCAGGGGCAACACACCCTTTGCGAGCCAAAAGAAAGGGAGAACGTCTTCACCATCTACCAAAGGTCAAGGTGACGCTGGCAGGTGACAAGGAGATCTATATGGCACTCACTCCAACGGGAGTCATTGTGGGCGAAGAAGGCACGGAGCCCATAGTGCCCATGGGATTGCTGACTGCAGTCCTTGGATGTGAAATCTCATGGAAGCCAGAAGGTCTTCAGGTGGTGCACCCAGTGCTTGGCAAGTTGGAGGTGGTGGTTGAAGCTGGATGTCCAATGGTATCACAGTCCACGGCCATGAAGCTCATCGAGGAGATTGAGGCCAAGGCCGTGAAGGTTGTGAAAAGTTTGAAAACGGGGGAGGACTCAGAAGAGGCATGGTTGAGAAGGTTGGCTGATGAACACCCAGCTCTTCAAGGAATCCCTGAGGAGGTAAAGAGAAGCTTGGTGGAGAAGCCTGCAACGGACATCCTACCGTTGGGAAACAGAAGAAGAAGGAAACTTTGGAGGGCGAAAGGTATGATGATTCACGCCTTCTCGGGAAAGAATGAAGGCTACACATTGGGAAGGGCTTTTCATGAGATTGGAGGTGATCGTCGATTGATGTATGAGTTTGACATCACCCATGGAAAGCCTGAAACAGATCTTTCACCTGAAGGTGAGGCCTACCCGCTCTTGTTGAGGGCAGCTTTGGATGGATTGGTGAAGGGTTGGATAGCCGGGCCACCATGCAGGACCAGATCGGTTCTCAGACATCTTGAAGTTCCGGGGGAAGCCATGCCGAGGCCTCTGAGAAGTTGGAATGGAGGGGAGTTTGGCATAGAAGGGCTTTCGAACTTTGAGAAAGAGCAGGTCACCTTGGATGACACGTTGCTCATGCGGTTTTTGGTTCTCTACATTGTGTCAGAGACGGTGCGCAGAGCAGCTGGGCTAGAGACACCCACCACTTTGATCCTGGAGCAGCCTGCCTCACCCGAACACAAGCCTGAAGTGGTGTCGCTTTGGAGAACACCTCAATGGAAGAGCTTGGCCGAGATCTATGAGCTGCAGACCCAGCGTTTTGACCAGTCAGAGTTTGGGGCCATAGCTACAAAGCCAACGACTATAGGAGGAAATCTGCCACTTCAAGTACCACTTCAAGGAAAGAAAGGGCAACCACGTGATGTCTCTGGAATGACCAAGGCAGAGATCTGCGAATCGTCCAGGAGATTGTCACGGTGGCCACCCTTGATGATGAGGTCCATTGCTGTTGCTCTCCAAACCTGCACCATGGGCGAAGAGGTCAAGTTACGGGCAGTTTCATGGCAGGAGCACATTGCAGCAGGCCATACTCCTTTTAGAAGAGATTGCAGAGTGTGCCAAGAGGCCTGTGCTCATCATCGGCGGCAGAAATTGCCACCAAAGGCGGGTGTCCTTAGTGTGGACATCTCAGGACCTTTCAAAGAAGCACCTGATTTGCAGAAGAAGAAGGCGAAGTATCTCCTGGTAGCCAGCTTCACTTGGACAGCCAGGAACCAAGATGGAGAGGAGGAGGTTGAGGAGATACCTGAAGTTCCCCCAGATGCGCCGGAGATTGAGGATCCAGAAGCAGAGGAGGAGCTACAGCAGATTGCAGATCAGGTTGAAAACCCAGAAGAAGGCCCAAAGGAGGACACATCAGAGGAGCTTGAAGAAAGAAAGCCGGTGAGGATTGAGGTCACCAAGCTTTGCGAGCCTTTGGCATCAAGGAGCCAAGAGGATGTGTCCAGGGCGATCATCAACATGTACATGCGTCTGAGAGCAGACGGGTATCGAGTGACACAGCCGCATAGCGACAGAGGAGCTGAGTTCAGATCGAGGATTTTGGAAAAATGGTGCCTGTCACGCACCATCCTTCAGACGTTTACGCCTGGGGATCAGCCCCAAATGAATGGACGATGTGAAGCGATTGTCCAGCACATCAAGGCAGCCATCAGGCGGACACTTCATGGAGCTGAAGCACCTTTTGATCGCTGGCCAATTGCAGCTCGCTTCATCAATGAGAAGTTGCGACAGAAGCAGGTTGACAAGGAGAAAAAGACACCGCCTTTTTTGGCGCAAGTTTTGGTCAGAAAGAGGTTTTGGAGATCACGAGAACTGGAACCAACACAGGAGAAGGTCACTTACCTATGTCCTTCTTGGGTTCATCATGGGCATTGGATTGAAAGGGCAGATGGAACTCAGGCGCTGACGAAGATGGTCATGCAGGGCTTGAGTGAACCACCAAAGTTGGAGGATTGGATTGGAGTTGAAGATGCCTTGAACCCAATCGAAGAGAGGAGAAGAATCAGACACAAAGCGTCCATATACATGCTGGAGGTTGAGGACGCCGTGGAAGCAGATGAACTTGAGAACCAAGAAGGAGATGGCAGATCACCAAGTTTTGAGGAGGAAGAAAAGGATGCATGGGCCAAGAAACAAAGGGTCCAACGTTTGATAGAGGAGGAGATGGTTGAGGCCATGGAAGATGATGAGAAAGTTGCTGGCATGGTGCTGGATTCCATCACCATGGTCAAAGAGTTGATTGGACCTGAGAAAGGAGAAGAAGTTTTGCAGACACGCATTGTGTCACAAGCTGAAGTTCGCCGTTCCATTGAGGCTTGGAGGCCATCCATCGAGAAAGAGCTGACCTCCTTGTTTGAGACGAAAGGGGCGCTGAGAAAGATCACAGAAGCTGAGGTGAAGAAGCTGCTTGACGAAGATCGAGCAGAACTTATCCCTAGCAAGCTGGTCTTCACAGTCAAGCCAGATCAGACCAACAAGGGTGGCAAGAAAAAGACACGATTGGTGGCTTGTGGGAACTTCTCAGAAAGAGAAGAAGGGCAAGATCTCTTTGCAGGCGGAGCATCAGCAGTGGCACTTCGAGCTGCATTGACGGTGGCAGCACAATTTGGTTTCGAAGGGAGCGTCATGGATGTGAGGACAGCATTTTTAAATGCTCCAATGGTTTTGTCCGGGTCAAAGGATGAGAATGGGGAGAAGATGGAGCCTAGAAGAGCCATCATCCGCCCTCCTGCTCTTCTCATTTTGGCTGGATTGGCCAAGCCAGACGAATTCTACGAGGTCATCATGGCCCTCTACGGCTACAAGGAGTCACCCAAATTGTGGTCAGACTACCGTGATCAGGAGATTGCAAAGATGGAGTTACCATGCGAGGGTGGCATTTTGACCTTGCAGCAAATGATCACGGAGCCAAACATGTGGAGAATGATGCTGAAGCAACCAGGTCCCAACTTGCAGACGAATGAGGAAGAGTTTGTGGGACTACTTTTGGTCTATGTGGATGATCTTCTGGTCCTTGGTTTTCCCTCATCCATCGCTGCAGTCATTCAAGGGGTGCAGGCGAAATGGGAGACATCGGAGCCAGAGACCATCAACATGCAGAAGGAGGTGAGATTTTTGGGCGCGGAGCTATGGAGAAGAGAAGATGGAGCCTGGTTGATGACGCAGACAAACTACATCAAGGACTTGCTGAAAAGAAATCTTGGAGCAGATCCCACTACGTGGCCGACTAGAAAGATTCCTTTGGTGAAGGAGCCCGAGGTCATTGAAGGTGAGGAGAAGACTCCAATGGCAGTCAAAGAAGCCCAGCGAGTCATTGGGGAATTGGTTTGGATCACTGCCAGGTCCAGGCCTGATTTGGCTTTCACTGTCTCCAAGCTGGCGTCATTGATCACAAAGTCACCTATGCAGGTTGTGCAGTTGGTGAAACCAGTGTGGTACTATTTGGCAGCCACCATGGACCAAGGTTTGATTTTTCAGAACAACATGGGCGAGAAGCAGCTCAATGTGTACACGGATGCATCATATAGCGATATCTCATTTGGATGCCATTTGATCCTTTGGGGATCGTCGCTGTTGCTCTGGAAGGCTGGCAAGCAGCCCATTCAAGCTGCATCGACGGCCGAGGCCGAACTTGTGGAGGTGCTTGAAGGAGCATTGGCGGGAGATGCTGTCAAGGTCGTTTTGGAGGAGGCATTGGATGTTTGTGCTAGGTCATTTTCCTACACAGACAGCTCAGCAGCATTAGCCATCATTGCCGGAGATACTGGATCTTGGCGGACACGCCATTTGCGGAAAAGGGCCTTCATTTTGCGCTCAAGAGTTTTGTCTGGGGAATGGATGCTCCGGCATTTGCCTGGAGCTGAGATGCCAGCTGACCTGGGCACCAAAGTTTTATCGGTGCAGAAGTTCAACCAGCACAAAGAAACCATGGGCATGTTTTTGGAAGGTTGGAAAGTTTTGGAAAAGATAGAAGACGGAGAACAGAATGAAACCACTTTTGGGATGACACAAGAAGCACGTGAGAAAGCGTTGAAGATCATCATTTTGGTGACAAAATTGGCGCTTGCAGGAGCATCGAATGAGGAGAAAAAAGATATTTCAAATGCTTTGGTCATTCAAGACCTCAATCCAGTTTTGCAGCAGAGAGACGGTCAGTTTTATTTCATCATGTTTGTGGCTGTGATCCTTTTTGCCGGTTTCATCATTGGAGCATGCGTCATAGGCATTTTCATGTGGCACAGAGTTGACAAGCTCACTGTTGTCAAATACAAAGGTTCATTGCTGAACGTGCCTGCGTTTTTGTGGCATGCGCCAGAAAGAGATGAGGATGAAAGAAATCAGCAGCAACGTGATCCAACTGTCAGGCCAAATTGGTTGCCTTCTACGGCTGCTGGCGCTGCGGGCGCTTCACCTACGGCTGCTGGCCGTGCTGCTGGCGCTGCGGGCGCTGGATCTGCGGCTGCTGGCGCTGCAGGCGCTTCATCTACGGCTGCTGGCCGTGCTGCTGGCGCTGCAGGCGCTTCATCTACGGCTGCTGGCCGTGCTGCTGGCGCTGCAGGCGCTTCATCTACGGCTGCTGGCCGTGCTGCTGACGCTGCTGGCGATGGAAATACGGCTGCTGGCCGTGCTGCGGGCGCTGCATCCACAGCTGCTGGCAGTGCTGATGGCGCTCCAAGAAGTTATGGAGCAGCTGGTATTCCTAGCGCTGCAGCTGGCGCGGCAGATGGCGGCGCAGCAGCGCGTGAGCCGGCGAACATGTTGAGATCAAGAGGATCTCGTTCCCAAAGAGGACCAAAACCCCTTTTCACCACGCCATTTGGTGGAAGATACCACTGTGACAGTGAATGCCATGGTCTTAGACATGCCAAGGAAGTTTGTCTGACGCCACGATGTCACAGATGTGGCCCACAGTCAGACGTTCCCCAACATAGGCTGTATGCGATCTCACATGGATATGCACTTCATGTTGATTATGAGCATTGTCGTGATGCGGGATCCAATGGTCCACTTCGGGCCTTCAACCCATGTGCGATTTGCTGCACTGCAGATGATAGACTTGTTTAGAGGGCTTGAGCTGAATATGTGGTCAGTGGAACTGATCACATAGGGGGAGTGCGTGTGAGAATTTCATGCATCCCTATTTATCCAATTCTCAAATGGAAATACTTCCACTTTTGCTGTGACTTCTACCCAACGGGTGTAGTCCAGACTACTACCCTACGGGTGTAGTCTAGGAATCTTGAAGAACCTGCATCTGGGCCGGACCGAAGCCCTTTAGATGTCAAGTGGCACAAAGGTGCGTCAGCTGGCAGCGAGGTGGCTGCTTGGAGTTTTGGGGAAACTTGGTTTTGTTTTTTGGGTTGAAACATTATTTTTCCGGTTGGAGTCGAGATCTCAGTTGCTGTTCAGGGTTCCAGGACGGTTCACTTGTTGGCATTGGGAGGCTTCAGGAAACACACATATAATGATTATAAAATCCCATTGAGGGTGCATCCCATTAAATGGGAAATGCTTGCATATATTGATTCCATTAACTTGTTTATCCAATTGATGGAGGGTATATCGTGTTATTTAATCAATGGGATTTGAACGGGATATTCTCATATTTCCCATATGAATGGAACATGTTTTATTACATTTTAATACTATGTCATACATTTATAGTATTAATATATATATATATATGTCCATATATTAACTTGGTTATCTAACTTTTCTATGACCAGTATTTATATATATATATCTATGTATATATTTGTGACATAGATAATTTCATAGATCCCAAGGGGTCGACGATCCATCCCAGATCCCATTGTGGCAGGTGCTGGTGGTCCGTCGCAGCTTCTTCGAGGACTTGGCCCGCTGTGCCACCCACTTGGCGCCAGACTTCAACCCGCAGAACTGTTCCAACGCGGCGACTCGGCACCCGGTGACCCCGGTGACCGGCCAAGGGAGGAGCGATGAGGAGCGCATGGACCTAGAGGTTTTGGATGGTTTTGGTGGGGTGAATGCAGTTATTTTTTTCGGATTTTATGGAGGTATCATTGACCTGAAAGTAGGAATATGATGGAATATGAGCAAGATACCTTTAGAATATATTTGATTTGATAATTGCACTTTTTTGTTCACTCGCCGCGATGATCCGAATTACTTGACTCATAGTTACCCATACTTTCGGGGATGGCTTAAACCGTCAATCAGATGCCGTTCTTTCGGTTTTGCTCTCGTTGGGATGCATAGAGCTCTGATGGTGGCGCATCCAAGTTTCCGTAGTTGACATTTGAGCATGTAATTGGCTATGGGCTGTGGATCAATTTGTCAGTCCGCACCCATTTTTGGTACTCCAGTTTCAATCCATCCTGCTCCACTAAAATGCCTTAGGATTTAGGGATGCTGGTGAAGACTGACAGTATTATCTCATCCATGCTAGATCCAAGTTTGGAGTTTTCTTGATATTTTCCATTATGATTCCATTGTGAATATCTATCCAGTATCACCCTGAATCAATATATAGATTTTTTTACTGTAAGAATGAAAAAGTCATTGGATATCTCCTGTTTATCATTTTGGACTACTAATAGATATTGTGCATGTGTATATATTCCATAGATTTATGGATGATATGTCCGCAGAATCCCAAAAACGTGACCAAAACAAAAAACACACCACGGGTTTCCACCAAGGAAAAACAACACATGAAAACACCACCACCACACCACAAACAATCCAACAATTAAACAAAAAACTACATGAAACAGCCATTGAAACAACATTTTACACAACAAAACGCATCGGAAATCATCATTTTTACATCCAGAAACTCACCGTAAATCCATTATTTCATCCATAGAAAAAGCATGAAATCCACCATGAAATCCACACTTTTTAAGCGCCGCCGAGGTTTGGGCCTTCGCGGCGGTGAGCCACGTGAACGTGGAGCTGCTGGAGGCCACCGCGCGGCGGGCTGAAGACTTGGCAGCGGAGCTGGTGGCGCAGGAGAGAAGCCGAAGCCGAGAAATCTTCGGCCACGGTGATGGTTAATGTGGCTAACCATAATGGAATTACTCTCTGGTAAACTAACATAGCTATTGAAAATGGCAATTTATAGTGGATTTACCCATTAAAAATAGTGATTTTCCATAGCTATGTTAGTTTACCAAAGGGTAACCACTATGTTATTAATGATGATCCATAAGTGGGCCACTATGGTTCATCATGGAAGCCGAAGTTAACCATAGGATTTTTAGTGATGGTTAACCATAACATCATCGAAAATGGCTAACCATAACATCACTATGTTCGTGAATCTTAGTTCATTAGATGAAAAAGTATATGATTATCAATGTGGCGAAGCAAAACTATCATCCATAGTGGATTAACCACAATGGATGATTAATCATAATGTATGATTCATGTGGCAAACCACAACATATCATAAGATGAACCATTAATAATCATCTATCATGTGGGTAAAACAAAAAGAAACAGTTTGTGTAATAATCCCAGTTGGTAAAACAATAAACCAGCCATGTCTAGGAAATCTGGGAATGATTAATTTAGCACCTATTAAAAATCAGCAATCAATCTATAAATCATCGAATTAATGTGGGTAAAACAATGCCATGAACCGGAAGTTGTTATAAACCACCCATGACTGGAAATGACACCCATGACTGGGAATGATTTATACCAACTATAAACATGGTGATTTTGGGGATGGTTTATGATTGTTTTACCTACATTAGGCTTAGGCCTATGATTTGAAGCAGAAGTTGGGATATGAACAATAAAGCCCTGGAGGAGTTTCAAACACATGGTGATTTCTGGTGAATTCATGGTGATTTTATGTGAATCAAACATGGTTTGCTGGACAATCACCCATTTAATTCGATGATCTATCTATTAGAAAAGGTGTTTTTCCATAGCTATGTTCAATTCCCAGAGGCTACCAGAAAGGTTAAGTCGTTCCAACTTGGGCTTGGGTTGTGCCCGGCAATGGGAGGTATTGTGTCAAATAGATGTTTTTTAAAAAGTCACGTTTTAATGTTTGATGTGGTGGTATGTTAAGAATATCTG